TTGTATGCGGTAAAACTTCAGTATATTATAGTATTTGATATGAAGATTAATTTTTACTTAATAAGCAAGTGTGATTGTGATAGTAAAATTTTTAGTTTTTGTCATGTCACTTTATTCAATTATTTGTGATGATCCGCAGGTGTCCCTATACTTTTGTCCAGTAAGTGTACATGAGAGTTAACATCTGAGGATGGTGAGATTTGGGAATTTTCTTATTTTATTAATAACCATTATCCCCAAGATTTTATATGAAATTGATCGACATGTCCCTCATTAATAGACGGATTGTCAATTAAATTAATATATTGATCAAGAGCATTAACTTGTTTTAATTGTTCTTTAGTATTTCCTTGTTGTAGTAAAAAGGCGTAGACAATTTCCAAACTTTTGGAAGCTTCATTAGCACTTATTATTACTGGTTCAATGCTATCGTCATCTTCATTATTGTCAATAGGCACTTCTGGTTGTTTTTTATATACTTCAACAAGTCCTTCAATAAGTTTATCATCATCAAGAACTTCATATATTTTTTCTTCTTCTGGATTATTTAAAAACTCTTCAATTGGCATTCTATCAGATAAGTTAAGAGTTGTAAGCACCCGAGTAAGCTCATCTAATGTTGGAACATTAGTTCTAATGTTGTTAAGGTTAGTTAATTCGGCATTAATGGTATCTGGAAGAATTTTAGTATGATTCCAACAGTTATGAATGGTTTCAGGTATTATTTCTTCCCAACTCTTAATAATATAACATATTGCCTGCAATACATCATTTTTAAATCCTTTATATCTTTTCCTCCTTGAACTTGATCCAGGATCCATTTAATGTGCAAGTTACGATAATGTTTTTTGAATGACATAATAATTCCAGCATCCATCAGTTGGATCTTTGAAGTGGTATTTGGGGGGAGAAAATGAACATCAACATTTGAAAGGACCAAACCATTTGTCTTATGACATGGGCAATTGTCAAGAAGCAATAATACCCATTGGTCTCCATATTTTTGAGCAACCTCTCTATTGAATCCTTGGAGCCAATCTTGAAAAACAGTTATCAACATCCAAGCCTTTGTATTATTATGATATGTCATTGCTAAGCTATCAAGGTTGACATTAGTAAAGCATCATGGTTTTGCAGATTTTCCAATTATTAAGGGATCTAATTTATGAGATCCATCAGCATTTGCACACAAAGCAATACTAAGTCTTTCTTTATTTTTTTTTTGTGACCAAAAAGTCTGTGTGTGGCTAATGTTCTATCTGGCTCTAATCTGTAAAAAAGACCTGTTTCATCCATATTGTATATTCTTTCAAGTGGATAATTTTCACATATGCTTTTTAATAATGGTAAGGCATCATTTATGGCTTCCAGATCAGCTGATGATACATCTCCATGAAGCTTTTGTTGATGGATTCCATTATGTTTTTTAAATTTTTGAAGCCATCCAGCTGGAAATTCCAATGTTCCATCTGGAACTTCCAAGCCATCTGCCAATTGCTTGGCTTTCACTTAAAATAGCTTTGTCTTGATAGATTAAAATAAACTCCTTAAGGGCAAGTTCAAGTTCAGGAACTACTACAGATTTATGTCTTTTAGCATTTGGATTGGTGATTTCCATGTTAAGTATAGTGCAAGTCACTTAGTCCCACAACTTTCTGTGCTGCGCCACCAATTTTAAGAAAAAATTTCCAATCAAAAATGCAATAAAAATTTTACAGTCGCATGATTTTTGAAGATCATCAAGTGCTTAAAATTTTTCTTTTTACATTTATTCCAATATACATATGTAAATGATGATTAGAACAATAAACAACAACAATAAAGATTATAGTGATGTTATTAAATGTTAGTTAAAATAAAAGAGAAATTTATATAAACTATTGAATGATTTATAAAACCTTTGTTAGTATATTTTGTTCATAGATCTTGTTCTTAAAGCTTACTTCAATTACTCCTACACAAACTATTAAATAATTGATAAACGTTTGTTAGAATATTTTGCAAATTGCACATTTCTTTGATCA